TCTCAGCTCTTAGATACTTAAGATTCACCATAAAAATGGGATCTCTAACTTCTAAAGAACTGAATATTCCACATTTCAGCTGTGACTGACTACTTTTTGTTATGTATGAAAAATAGGCCTCAGAAGCTGCACATGTTTACAAAAAGGAAAAATCTCACTAAATATCATTTAAGTTATCATAGTCATCATGTGAAACATTCCAGATGAACAACACTGCACTTTAATAAGACTTTCTTTGCACATGATGGTACATGCCTGTAATCCCAGCAACTCTGGAGACTGAGGCAGGAGAATCATAAGTTCAAGCCTTGCCTTGGCAACTTAGCAAGACCCTGTCTCAAAAAAAAAAAAAAAAAAAAAAGACTAGCTCAATGGTAAAGCACCCCTCCCAGGGTTCAATTCCCAATACACACACACACAAAAGATTGACCCTTTCCTACTCATGGACAAATTTGCTTTCTTAGTCTTTCTTTCTTTCCTTCTCTTGGTCCTGAGAACTTGAGAACTTGACTAGATTTTCCATCTGTTGGAGGCATTTAGGTTGTCATGCCATCCTGTGTAGGCAGCCAATCAAAAGATTGGGAGCCTCGAGAATATGGCCAAAGAACAAAATGGGTGGCCTCCCATTTGTCACTAGTGTGCTGGTTGTGGCTAGGTCTTTCTTCTGAATTTCTTTGGGAATGAATGACTCTGGGTTAGGAAAGCACTACATCTTTTTCTTCCTCTTTGCAACTTATAAATTTTGGTCTTGGGTCATTCATTAAGTACCTTCATATTAGGAGCATGATAAGAATTTTTTTTGTTTGTTTTACCTTCTCTCCTAAACTAAAATAAAAACTAGTGCTCAGAGTTGAAAAAAAAGAGAAGAGTTTGATACTATTAAGAATGTTTGCTGTTTGTCCTGGTGAAACCTGAATAAGATATTTGAAAGGATTTTTTTCCCCTTTTGCAATGCTGGGGATGGAACCCAGGGCCCTGTGAATGCTAGACAAGTGTTCTACCCATCAACCCCAGCCCCAACCCTGGAAGGATTTTTTAAGGAGTTTTGTGGTCAGGAGTCAGATTAATTGGGAGCTGATACACAGGATGCAACCCTCTCTGTTTCCTCTTGGATCATGTTTCTCCTGTGGGAAACCCCTCTTGAACCCCTGTTAACTATGCTCTGCCTCTCTAACTGCTCCCTTTCTTTTTGGTGTAATTTTTGACTATTTGAAAATTGGGCAAATAAAATATCTTAAAGTTCTTTCTAAATATATTGGTAAAAGGCTTTATTAAAATTGGCTTGAGATAAATGAGCAGACCCCAAACTGCAAGAAATATAGAAACTAACCCAAAACACTTTTAAAGTTCATGTGACTTGGGTAAATCTTTGGTAAATAATAATAGTTTAATGTTGCTCATTTAATGAAACACAGCTGTGTCTCCTGAGTTATCAGCCAAAACAAAACACATACAATTCTGCACTTAATTTTAGGGTTTTTGCTTTGGCTACAACTGCCTGATATGCTGTAAAAATGGCTAACAGTGAAATGATTTGAGATGATGGCCAGCTTTGTCCAAGGTCTCAGGAAATTTTCACATGTAATCCAAGCATAATTGTTGATAAGAATAAAATAAAATAAAATATAAGTGATAAAAGTTTATAAATGAGCACTTTTAACAATAATATGTTTACTTTAAAAGTTTCCCTAATCTCTTTTGTAACTGCATCAAAGAGTTTTGTTAATTTAAATTAAAGAATGGATATTTATCAAATATCTAGATCATGTCTAAGTAAGTTAAAATATTGAAACATTGTTCTTATGTGGTATAAGGAAGTCAAGCACATTTGGGTCTGCTACTAAACATGGAAAAGCATTCTATGAGGAAGTGCATGGTTTTAGAAATCATTAAATTTACAGTAGTGAAATGTTGGTATATGACAATTCGAAATTGCCTACTTCATAGGTTTTCACTAATATTTAAGATTAAATTTGGATTGGATGTGATTTGTCCCCCAAAGACTTATATGCTGGAACCTTGGTCCCTGGAGTGATGGAGCTGAGGTGTGGAGCCATCCCACTCTCTGCTTCCTTTCTTGCCATATGATCTCTTCTGCATGCATTTCAGTCACTGTGATTATCCACCTCAAGGCTTTGACAGAGGCCATACAGATAGGGCCACTGAATTTTGGATTTTCAGCCTCCAGAACTATGAACTAATTAAATCTCTTTTCTTTGTAAACTCCACATCTTCAGTTATTTTATTATAGTAACAGAGAAAAGTAAAACAATTACTAAGCATTTAAAAAATCCTAATCAATATATGATAATTAAAATAGAATAATGGTGCAAATTTGTAATCCCACTACTTGGGAGGCTGTGACAGAGAATTGCAAGTTTGGGATCAGCCTCAGCAACTTAATGAGAAGCTGCCTCAAAAGAAGAAAATAAAAAGAGGTATCTCAGTGGTAGATCACCCTGGGTTCAATCCCCAGAGACATGAAACAAAAACAAACTAATAAGTATATGATAAATAACTGAAGAAATATGAGAAAGTTGTAGAAGGTTAGTGAAACATGAATCTTGTGAAAGGAATTTTATGTGAGCTCAAGTTGACTAAAAATAGAAGGAAATTATTTATAACTTTTTCCAAAAAATTACATGTTAATATCAAAAGTGCAAAACTGGAATTTGTTCTATGCTGTTAAAATAACAAGGTTTCCTTGGAGTATTGATCTGCTCTTAATAGGAAATAACACCAAAAAAATGTCCTCTATCTTTTAGATAACTGGCCTAGGAAACAATGACTTTGTGTTTCTTGAGGATCATTTCTTGAGCTTTGTGCTCTTTTATTAGGTCTTTGATCATTTAAGAAAAATAAATCATCTCAATGTTAAAAGAGCTAAGGTCTTTCTGTAACCATGTTACTTCTCTTGTTTTTGCCTTTGAAATCTTTTTTTCACTTAAGCTCAATTGCTTAATGATCTGAGGTTCCATTTTGATCCCTTGACATTTTTGGCCAACTTTGTAAAATCAACCTCTGAATTAAGTCTTCTTGACCTTGAAATAACCTTGGGATATTCCAGAAAGGGCCCTGGAAAGTGTAAAGAGACATAATAAACCAATTAGGTTTATTTGGTATATTAAATTATATAAGTATGGTCAAGTAAAAAATGATGTTTGAATTTTATGAATAGGTTATTAATATGTGCTCCAAAAATCATACAAAATTCCTAGAAATCTGAAGATAAAGTCAAAATTATTATTATGTTAATATGTCACATAAATAACCGACTTTCCTAGTCAGGTGCTAGTTGTAATGAACTCCACCAGATCTTTAACCGTGCCATGCCAAGTCTTGCTGTCCCCAGTTAATTTCTTTACTCTGTGCTTTTTCTGAAAATTTTTTTGTCAAGAAACTTATAATTCTAAACTATTGTGTCTTTAAGGAGGTTCAGCTAGTTCATACCTAGGAAGGCATTAATGTTTGGGTCCCAAACATGCTTTTGGGAGGTGATTTTCAACTCTTTGTAGATTTAAAAGCTTAATTGTTAATCTGTTTATTGCTCCCATATTTGGCTCCACTGTGCATTAAAACTATTGGGTCCACTATAGAAGCCCTGAAAAGATGTCAACAACTAAGTTTATGACATTACATAAGGCTTTAAGCCAAGATAATGGTAATGATGCTCTTAATTTAAAGGATTAAATTATGGGGAGCATCATTAAAGGGAATGGATTGTAGTAGCACCCCCTTTCTCCACAGACAAGTCTTAACTAGGCTTCTGCAGAAATCTTCACCATGGCTGATTTTAGAGTTGTCAGCAAAAGAGTTCAATGTAGCTAAACTTCCTATTTTTGTGTTGCCCTGTCTTGCTTGGCCAATGGCTAGGAAGAAATCAGCACTCTAGGTGCTAGACACTCTCTTACTAGGTTTTCACAAACATGTATCCAGTATATTAGTTTGTAGAAATGTGTAAACAAGGTCTCTGGCCTTGAGCTGGAGCTTCACAGAGATGTCTACATTTCTAAGAGGAGAGACGATACCAAATTGGGCTCCAGGGTAACAGCTGGCAGGGGGAGGGAAGAAAGGGGAAGAAGCTCTCCCTTTCTCAGGTGTTGTCCTTAAAGGGTTAACGTGCCCAAAATAGTGAAAGGAAAAAAAAATGCTTTTATGTGAACTTCTACATACTGTCAACTTCTGAGCCCCTCCCCTTTTATGCTGGGTATAAAATTCTGAAACTACCTAAACTCGGGATTCAGGGAATTGATTAATTACTTTCAGAAAAAGCTGTTGTAGGCACGGAGGAGGCAAGGCACCCAGGATAGCAGAAAACAGTTTTATTTGGCTGCAGGGCACAGTTTCTGCTATCCTGGGTGCCTTGCCTCCTCTGTCCCTACAACACCTTTTTCTGAAAGTTCTTTGTCAAGCAACTATAATTCTAAACTGTTGTGTCTTCAAGGAGGTTCCTATAGAGTATGGAAAAACTTTGAAGTGTAGATTGCTGAAAAAATTTACAATCACCATCGGATTGGGTAAACATTTCTAAAACTAATAAATAAATGGATGGGTCTGTGAAACTGTTAACCAAGATCAAGAACGGGAATTACTTTAGATTTAATGAACTGATGAAAAATTACTGTTTTATAACAACTTTTAAAAATTTGAGGCATTGTTGTTTTTTTTTAATATTTCGCTTTTCAGACTTAGGCAGTGTGTGTGGGGGGATTTAACTATAAATAGCTTCCAACAATTTGGTAAAGTATAATTGTGTGAAGAACATAAATTAAGTTTTTCCCCAACCTGATCCCTCAATAATTTAGAAGACAGAAAGGGCCTCTGTGATCACTCTGGCACACAGGCCTCCACGGGCTGAGCAGGCGCCTGGCTGGCAAGGTCCGTGCGTCCCGGAATTGCCCAAAGCAGCCGCTTGCTGGCTCCTCTCAAGAGACCAGGCCTAGTCCCGCGAGACCCCCTCATCCCACGAGATCCCCCTCATCCCACGAGACCCCCCTCATCCCGCGAGACCATACTTCATTTCACAAGAGCAGCGCTTCAACCTGCGAGACCAGACCCGTGCGGTGCCGGGAAGACTTGTACCTTGTCCCGCAAGGCAAAGGAAGGCCTTAATGGTCCTGAAAGTTGAGCGAAAGCCTGATGAGGCTGGGTGGAACTGTTAGTGGCCCTCGGTCACTTGGTGTCCCTCCTACTGAGGAGATAAAAGGTACGGTAACATACCATATTTGACCAACTAGGGATGCCCACCACCCGTTGGGAAGGCTTTCCCGTTGGTTGTGGAAGGCCTGTGGATGTAATATGAAAAAGCTGGGCTCTCAGCTTGCCCCCCAGCCTTTTAAAGTTTTTGTTACATCTGGACATTCTGAATAGAAAGAGGTTGCTCACGTATGATAGCGTTAGAAAATAATGTCTTGTAAATGCCCATTTTTTAAAAAAATCAGAAGTGTCTTTTGGAAGTGACTTTGAAATGGATTTGTTAGGCCACCTCTAGGAGCAGCATTTGTCCACGTTTGTTAGATGTAAGGTCCTTGCTTAGCGTCTGGGACAGCCATCTTAAGTGACAGCCACCATTCTAAGAAAAATTTCCCTTTCAGCCCAAAGGCATTTAGGAGAAAGGCTAACCACTCCCTCATACCAACCCCACCCTTAACCACTGCTGCCTTAGGATCCGAGGGCTCTAATCCCTGAGCCTGCCCCATAAAGGTCCCCAATCCCAAGCCTGTTTTGCCTCTCTTGTCTATGGAGAGAGGCTTATTTGTCAGCTCTGACAAGTAGACTCTCATGTGTAAATTTCTGCCTGGTCTTCATCTTTCATTTCTTGCTCACCCTACTCCCCATTCCGCGCTTTCCTTTCAGATGATGTGAAGAAGACTTTGACCGGGAGAAGGAGGAGGTCCTGTGCCAGAGAGGTTTTATGTAAAAGATATTTTCCTATTATAACCATTGTTTTGTATGTGCATTTTATTCCTCATTACTGTATATATAGTTGAAAATGCTAAGTACTTTTTTTTTTAAATATCTAGACTTTTTAGATGTTCTAAAGTGCCTGGAATATGTTAAAAGTAGAAGTGGTAAAATATAACACATTTTGTAAATTTCTTTTTGTTAAAATTCTTATGAATGTTTTCTTTGGCAGGGGGTGGGGTGGGGTGTTGAACACAGTTATGTGCTGGCTCACAGTTGTGTGCTGGCTCCTGGGAGCACCATGCAAGTGTACTTACAATGAGGCAAGAGTTGTTCAGAATTGTTCCTTATGTCTATGGGTTTTAGTTTACTTGGCTGTGTACATAGCGCATATAAAGGACAAATGAGTCCTAATCTACATCCAGTCTCTCTAGTAAAGAGTTTGCCAGTGTATGACAAAAGTAGAATTAGTAAACGAATTTTGTATGTTTCATGTTAAAATTCCTAGGAAGGATTGTCTTCTGAAAATTGGAGCAGTATAGTCCAGTGGGTTGGTGAAGGGCCAGAATTCTCATACTTTCAAGACATTTTCAAATTAGAACTATTGTTACATGTGTGCAGTTTATTCAAAACTGTCATACACATAGTGGATAAATTAAGTCCTTACTTGAAACATCTAGTCTGTCTAGATGTTTAGCAGTGCCTGATGTATGTTAAATGTAGAGGTAGTAAAATATCACTTTATAAATATCTTTTTGCTAAAATTCATATGAGATATTGTCTTTTGGGAATGGAACTGTTAAACCACCTCTGCAAACAGTATAGTACTATTTGTACTTGTTCAGTGATGTGGAGGAGGTAAGAGGGAAGCAATTTCAAAAGGTAATATGTTAGTGTGTTCATACTTGGACATTTTCAGATATCAGTTTTCTGTGTTTTGTGCTTCTTGTTTTGCTGTGTATATAATTGATAAATTTGCAACATCTAGTCTCTAGATGTTAAAGAGGTTGCCAGTGTATGACTAAGTAGTTAGTAAAGTAGCACATTTTGTATATGTTGTGTTGAAATTCATAGGAAAGCTTGTCTCTATAAATGACTTTTGGATATGAATTGGTGCAACCATCTTTAAGCATTACTATGCTTGTACTTGTCCACTGGACTGAAAGTAGAAGAAAGTTAGAGGGAAAGGATCGAAGACAAAATGGTCATATTAGAAGATACCTCAGAATATAATCATTGCTATGTGTGCAATTTTATTTACCAGTGCTGTGTGCCTTATGTAGAATATCTAGTCCTTCTCTATATTTATAAGTTTTTGATATATTTTAAGATAAGAAGTAGTAGAATAAAACTATTTTTGTAAATAGCTTTAAAATAAAAAAAAAGCTAGGGAACTAGGAAAAGCTCATATGATACATATGACTGAATGGATTGGAATAGAATAATTAGAGGACAGAATTCAACACCTATTGATAAAAACTCTCTGGCAAGAAGGACCAGGAGTGTTATGGATTAAATTATAATCCCTGAAGATAGGTGTAAGGATCAAAACTATACACCTAAGAATAAAGTCTTTTTTCAAGAAATGACATTATGATGTGCTAAGATGAGGTGATAAGGGGCTAGGGTGAGCTCATGGTTCAACCTGGCTTGCTTGCCACCTATAAGGAGAGTGGGGTGGACTCATGGTTCGATGTGGCTTGCGTCCTTGAAAGGAGAAAAGAATAAGTTTTGATTCAGTGTGATTTTTTTCATTTCTATTTAGTTGATGTTTGCAGTGAAACATTTTAATTCTCTTTATTTGAGTATGTCTCATAGGTATTTCTTGGTGGTTCCTATTGGGTATTTCATTTAAATGAGGAAGGGACACCATTCTGATGTGAATCTATAGCAGGGTAACTTCAGTAATGTAGAGAATGCTCCTGCTGTGCCTTTCTGTCTGCACCCCCTCAGACAGTGATGTCAGATTATTATATATGTATGTACTGTGTTCAGCAACATAGAATAAAATTGGGGTTTTCTGCTACATAAAAAAGTGGAAACCATATTTTTATTTTTAGGATAATATAGTTATTTGTATGTTTGCTAAGAATCTATTCTCCCTTTAATATGATAGAATTGGAAATATTAGATATGTACTAAGGCTTTGAATGGGATGTCATGTTTGAGAATATGCATAGAATGAATTTATAGGTCCTGAAAGCAAAGTCTGACTGCCTTAGTTTGGTTTCCTAGCTTTGAGAGGTCGGAGCTGGCTATGGTGGTATATACCTGTAATCCCAGCAATTAGAGAGGCTGAGGCAGGCCAGCCTTAGCAACTTAGTGAGATAAAAAATAAAAAGGACTGGGGATGTAACTGAGTGGTAAAGTGCCCCTGGGTTCTATCCTAGTACCAAAAAAAAAAAAAAAAAAAGTCCAACCTGAGATTTTTTATCAAAAAAGTTCCAGCAAACCATAGTGATACAGTCCATCACTTTTCTTGCTGTATTTATGCAAGTAATCAGACCATGTTTAATGAAATTAAACTTATTTTGCAAACCATATAGTCGTACTGTATCTTTTGTAGAGGATAACTATAGAGAGAAAAATTATATTCATCAGAAAAACTATGGCAAATCTGTTATTACATTGTATCCCTGTTCACTGATTTTTAGTTTTTATTATCTACCTGCACAACTCCTATATTCTGGATTCTTGCAATAAATTTTTCTCCCATGGAATCACTAAGAGCAAGAATTGCTCTGTCCCTGAAGCCCTATAAGCTGAAGCTCGGATGACTTGATGTAAATTTCAAGGGACAAGTCTCATGCTTGATGTGTAGGCACAAGAGAGTTCACCAAAACACCTTATGCCTTAATCAGAGAAATTCAAACTGCACACCAGGATGAGGAGCTGACAACTACATGCTGTGGACAGCTTTTCCCAAGATGTCAGAACAAGACTCCCTATCATAACGAGCCTCTTACCTCTCAATTTTTTCTTGCTCATGCCTACCTCTTTTGCTTGTCAGAACAATGCTGTGGTTCAAATTTCATAATCAGTAACTTCTGTGGGTAACTTGATGAAATGCTGGATATGCAACTGCTGCTCAAATTGTACTCATGATCCCTTTATAAGATACAGTCAGACTTTTAGACCTACTTATTTTCACTCCCTGATTTAATTTAACCCAGTCATGGCATGCTAGATAACCTACTAGCTGAATGGAGAGAAATTTGTGCAGTTACTGACACTTCTTGTTGCATAGGGATAAATGCTTTGGGTATTGTAGAGACTCAGCTGCAAAAATTAGCAGACTACTTATGATTAAATGAGTAGACTCCTTACCTGGCTCATTTTTCCATCTATTTGATTTTTAGTTGGTTTGGTTCTTGAGGACCCTAGCATATTCCAATCTCTGGGTATTATCCTTCAGATAGTGTAAGTACTTTCCTGGTATACTGTATTCTCTCAAAAATTTTAAATGTTTGTATGCTACCATCTATCAAATGTCCCATGGTCTCTCTTTGGATGAACTGTATGATAATAAGAACACTGGAACCTGAGAATATGTTGAGACCACAACCCAAAATTATGGTAACCAAGAGTGTTGTATACCTTAAGTTTTGATCACCCAGGCAAGAACTTAAACAAAAGGGAGGAGTTGTTTAATAAAATGTATAGGACACCATTGGTTTAGACGAGGTCCTACATTAGGCCCAAGTAGCCAAGCCAAAATGTAGTCTGTTGCAGTCTTTGAGTCAGTGTTTTCATTGGTGTGATCAAAAGATCTGACAAGAATAATGTAGAAGATAAAAATTTATTTTGGCTCATGATTTCAGAGGCTTAATCCTTGGTTGGCCAACTCCATATCTCTGGCCCTAGATGAAGGAGAACATCATGGCAGAAGAGCTTGGTGGAGGAAAGCAACTCAGGACATGATAACCACCAAGGAGGGAGGGAGAGAATGGTGGGAGGGAGAGAAGGAGGGAGGGTAGGGAGAGAGAGGCTCTACTTAGAGTTACCATCCAGTTAGTCTCTATTTGTGCATTAGGACACAACTAATAATAATCTAATCATTCACCTGTGTTCTTGCATTGTGACAAGAGTATGCAACATCATTAACATAGACAGACACATTTGTGTCTGCTGGGATTACAGACATGTGCCACTGTGCCTGGCTCTTAGTATGTTAAACATACTATGACTTAGTATGTTAAACACCCTTTTATGTGCTTGTTTGTCATCATATTTTGTGTTGTGTTTGTTGCTGGTGATTGAACCCAGGGCCTAAGCATGCTACCACTGAGCTAAATCACCAGTCTTATAAATCTCCTTTGGTGTAGTGTCTTTCAATCTCCTACTCATTTGAAAAAAAAAATTTGTTGTTAGTTTTATTATTGAATTTTAAACAGTCTTTACCAAGAATCCAAGTCCTTTAGATATCTTCTAAGATTTTCTTCTTATCCATGGCTTGTCTTTTTATTCAACCATGTCTTTGGAAGACAAAAATTTTTTTCATGTTTTTTATTGGTGCATTATAGTTGTACATATTGATGGGATTTTTTGCATATTTGTACATGTGCACAATATAACAGTATAATTTGTCTGAGCACTTTTTCCCTCCCTCCCTTCCTCTTACCCTTTAGTCCCTTTCCTTTGAAGAAAAAATTTTAATTTTAATGAAGCCTAGTTTATCAATTTATTATTTTATGGATTGTGTTTTTAATAACTGAATCTTAGTTATCAAAACTCAGGTTACAAAGATTTTACCATGTTTTTTTCTTGAGTTTTATTGTTTTAGGCCTCACATTTAGGACTGATTCATTCAGAGTTAATTTTTTTATATTGTAGAATATGTGGATTAAAATTAAATTTTTTTGAATATGGATATCCAATTGTTCCATCACTATTTGTTAAAAAGACTATCTTTTCTCCAAGGAATTGCCTTTACGTCTTTGTCAATGTGGGGAAAATGGTAATATCTTTTTCTCACCCATCAATAGGTTCATACTGTGGTGCCTATATTAAAAGACAGATTGATACCAAGCAAGGGCTTGCTGCCTGATGCACACAGAAGCCAACACTATAGCACCAGTTTTTGCAAAAAAAAAGAGCTTTATTGCAAGGCTGACTGGCAAGGAGGATAGGAGCTGAATAAAAACACTCAAATCTGTGTCCCTGATCAGTAGTGGGAGAAATTGAAGGAAGGGAGAGGGGAGAAGCTGCTTGTTGACTGGATGGTGAGAAGGGGAAGTTTTAGGGTTCTTCTGGGTAAGTGTAGATGGTTGTCATGCTTCTTCACATATTGCATGTTTCTTTTTCAGGGGGAATTATGTTCTGAGTGGAAATTTTGAGCTTGCGGTGTCAAAAGGTCATTGACCAGAAGAGCTGGCTGCTTCTGCTTGACCATTCTTTTATTTTCTTTTAATTTTTTTTTGTTCTTTTTAGTTATACATGACAATAGAATGTGTTTTGACATATATACACAGAGTATAAGTTTCCATTCTGTGGTTGTACATGATGTGGAATTTTACTGGTTGTGTATTCACATACTAACATAGGAAAGTTATGTCCAATTCATTCTATTGTCTTTCTCATTCTCATCTCCCCTCTTTTCCTCCCATTCCCCACTGTCCAATCCAGTGAACCTCTATTCCTTCCACTCCCACCTGCCTATTGGGAGTTGGCATCCACACATCAGAGAGAACATTTGACCTTTTTTTTGGGATTGGCTCATTTCAATAGCATGATATTCTCCTGTTCCATCCATTTACTGGCAAAAGCCATAATCTTATTCTTTATGGCTGAGTAATATTCCTTTGGTTATATGTACTGCATTTTCTTTATGTGTTCATCTATTGGAAAGCACCTAGGTTGGTTCTGTAGCTTATCTGCTTGTCCATTCTTAAAAAGCCAGTTTAAAACCATACTTGGATGGATTCTAGAGGTATTGTTACTGGAGTCCTAGGGCAGAGGCAGCCTGACTTTGGGGAGTCCCAACACACCAGTTCCAGCCACTTGGCTCCAAAAACCAAATGTAAAAAATAATGGTGAAAAGCAGCAAAGGAATTTATTCAGTATAGCTATACCAGGAAAATGGGACCAGTGTTCTCAACTTTGACTTTGTGGGTACTGACAAGAGCTTCAGGTTTAAATAGAAAAGGAAGAGAGGTGGAGAGTGGGAAGCATAAATAGCTGATCAGTCTTGGTCAAACTGGGTCTGATTGGTCATTATCCCAGGACTGCTCAAGTAGGGCCTTTTCCATGATACTAAGAAAGTTGTTCTTGCATGGAGGGCACTTTAGACCAAAGCCACCAGATATTTATCCATAAGACCTGTGCTTTCTGGAATTTAAGGTGGCAAAATGGAGGCAGAGATGCCAAGCTTTTATCCTGCATTGAATTACCCATACAGCATCTATAGGTGTTTTCAGTTCCAAGAGTCAGTACTTTTAGCAAAAGCATCCTCTTAAGTCCTTTACAGTTTTTCTCGAAAAACAGCTTAAGCCCCCCCCCCCTTTTTTTTTAATTTAAGGACTTTATGTCTGGGTATATCCAGGCCTCAGTAGATTCCAAGATTCATAAAAGAAGAGCATACACATTTCTTTTTTTGAATCAATGTAAGTTATGCTTACAGGAGCCTTCTGAAATGAAGACCCAAAGGCAAAAGGAAAATCTGTGTGTTCTTATGCTTCTGTTTGAAGGGTGGATGGCTCTGCAGAAGTAAGTTTGGAAAAGGGGGTGTAAGCTAATGGGAATAAATTACAGGGGACAGCCAGAATTATTTGTTCCTTCTTCTGTGTTTCTTTCAATTATTACAGGATCCTACCACCACCTCTGAAATGAGGGTCTTTTGACCTAACTGAAGGAAAAGTTGGCTAAGCCTTATGGATGTTTCAGGGAAGTAAGGGTGAGGGGAAGGAGAGAGTGACCCTGCTTCTGCTGTTTTCCCAGATGCCAAGGTGCTGCATTTTGGGGTCACATATTCTGAATCCCATCATCAAAAATTTGTTGTTCATATGTGTGGATTCTTATATTTTTGTGTACTTTTTCAATTATCAAATAAATTGTGTTTAAAGGTTGCACATTATAGACATTTCAAGATTATTTTTTAGAAAATTTAGTCAACAAATGTTCATAAACAAACATAATAAACTTACCTGTCAGCTATTTGTGTCAATATTTATAAGGTACAATTGCTTGCTTTTATTAATATGTTGGCTGGAATGAATCATGAAAACCACACCTCGCTTAGTCTTGGGGAAACTTACCTCAGCATTTTATAAATGCTGCACAGTAAAATTTTGATATTAAATTGGGTGCCTTTCCAATTCCTTTAACCCTCTCACTTCTCCGCCTCACAATTTGAGCTGCACTGAAGGGCTTTCTCCACGCATTGCCCTTAGGGTAAGGACCATACAGAGAGAACAAAGGGTCCCTTTCCTAGCTTTTGAGCTCTTAAGTAGCCTTTTGTAAATCCATTGTACAGGCAATGGTATTGAGAGCCACAGATTTCAATTCTAAGGGCAAGGTGCTTGAGAGAAAAAAGGGTATTTTTGAATTTCAAAAGCTTGGCTTTAAATATCAAAAGCCAAAGCCAGAGGGCTCAGAGCACAGATTTTATATTGTAAACCAGACTGTGGAGAAGAAGAGTCTCTCTCTCAGTCCCCAAAGAGATTAGATTTCAGCCAAGGGATGAGGAGGGTTAGAGGAGAAAGAATTGAACTTGATTCACGTTTTAACTGGTGGGTCCCTAGGAGGGGGTTTAGGACCCCATCCCCCTAAGATCAGCTGTAGTTTGTTGGAAGCCCAGACAAGATTGGTGGGAGGGGGTCCTCAAGGAGGAGGGCTATTGCCTGACCACGCAGAGTACAGCCTGTGTCCAGCAGGCCCAGACCTGGGTGGTGTGACTTCTGTGGGCTTGAAAGTGGGTTCTCTGGGCCTGATGGGTGGCTGTAGTGTCTTAGAATCCTTCCCTTGCCATATGCGACAGGGAAGGGACCACTTTTCCTGCACTTCTGAGAAGGGCCTGGCAGAGATCTTTAGTCAGATTTCTCGATGTGACTTAAGGACCCAACCAGCACAATTATGGAGGAAGAAGAATTTATTTAAGGGCTCACAGTTTCAGAGGTCTCAGTCCATAAAAGGCCGGCTTCATTCCCCAGGGCTCGAGGTGAGGCTGAACTTCATGGTGGAGTGGTGGCAGAGGGGAGCAGCTCACATCATGATGATCAAGAAGCAGAGAGAGACTCCATTTGCCAGATACAAATATATACCCCAAAGCCATGCCTAATTCCCACCTCCTTTAGCCACACCCTACCACTTCAGTTACCCTTCAGGTAATCTCTATCAGGGGATCAATTCACTGATTGGGTTAAGACTCTCACAACCCAATCATTTTTTCTTTGAACCTTCTTGTATTGTCTCACATAAGAGCTTTTGGGGGACACCTCATCTGAACCATAAAGGTCTTAAGAGCTGGTGGCCCATTCTTATTGGGATGAGAGGAATATAGAGCCTAAAGAGAGGATAGATTGCTGGGCTGTAAAGAGAAGAACTTTGCTTCTTTCTGCAAATACAAGCAGCCCAGAGGCATCAAGATCCTGCTGGAGTTGGGAAAAAGTTTTGACATCAAATCCAATGGAGAGTTGTGTTTATTGTCAAACATTCCATGTTTCAGAGCAGAGACTGTATGACTTAAAGTGCTGTTAGGACTCTATTTAGACAGATTGTTGACAGGTGGAAATAGACATTGTTCTGTTCAGCCTCTTGGAGTGTTAGAGTGGGGTCTGGAGATGACAGAACTCCCATGGTAGTGCCTCCAACCTTGGGTAACTTCACCCATTTATATCAGTGAACTATATAATTATTGTCATTTTCTTTGTGCTTTGAGCTTTGATGGAAAGCATGTCAGGAAGCTACTTGATTAGTTTACTAAAAACTTAGTGGTTTAAGATAATACCCACTTATTTACTTACAGTTTCCATGGAGTAGGTGAGCCTGGATAGATTAGGGACCCTTTTCCCAGGCCCCATCCCACCTCAGCACAGCTGATATAAGCCTAAGAACCTCCCATTCATCCTATCCCAGTGAGGTATATGATCAGGTGTAAAGATCTTATTTTTCAAATCCTCTGAGAAGGAAATGAGGAAAACTACCCCATTCACAATATCCTCAAAAAAACAAAACAAAACAAACCTTGGGAATCAACAAAAGAGGTGAAAGATTTATACAATGAAAACTACAGAACCCTAAAGAGAGTGTAAGGGTCCGGCGAAACGTCGGAGAAAGAGACCACAAGAGACCGACTTCGTGCAATATGCATAAGGGGATTTATTGAACCAGCATGCTGGGGCTCCGTGCCCACTCAAGAAACGAGAGCAGCCCAGAGCAGGGGTTGAACAATGTTTAAGTACACTTTTGGGGGAGGGCGGGGGCTTTACATACACATCATAGTCTCCTTTAACAAATCACCATACACCGCAGGAAAATCAAACAATAATTCTTAGACTTGATTAGTACATTCATTGGCGGGAACAGACTGGGCAGGGGTGATTGATCACTTCTAAGCAGGGTACACATTCAAACTGATTGGTTTTGGGGCCTGGATGCCTACATGCCGGGCTACTCAGAGCCCTTAGTTATTAAACAGCCAGAGGATCAGGAGGAATATTTACTGGGCAGTTCAGGTATTGTCCTAACAGCTACAGGAATTTCAGATTTTAGAGGTAGCAGAGGAATTTAACGATACCTGGTCCTTTACTTTTTAACTCAGGCCCTGCAGCATGGAAACTTTACAATGCCTGGTCTTTTACACTTTAACTTTTACACTTTAACTTCAATTTCTTTTACTCTTACAAGAGAAATCAAAGAAGATCTTGCCCAACCATTCTGAGGAGTGGAAACTACCAAGTTTTACCTACAGTAACCTAAGATGAGAAAGTCCTGTTTAAGACCTAACATAAAAATCTGCAACAAGACAGGGATGCCCTCTCTCACCACTTCTATTCAATGTAGTTCTTGAAACACTGGCCAGAACAATTAGACAGATGAAAGAAATTAAAGGAATAAGTATAGGAAAAGAAGAACTTAAACTAGCACTATTTGCTGATGATATGATGCTATACCTAGAAGACCCAAAAAACTCCACCAGAAAACTTCTAGAACTAGTAAATGAATTCAGCAAAGTAGCAGGACATACAACCAACACCCATAAGTCAAAGGCACTTCTGTATATCAGTGATAAATCCTCTGAAAGGGAAATGATGAAAACTACCCCATTCTCCATAGCCTCAAAAAAATAAAATACTTGAGAATCAACAAAAGAGGTGAAAGAGCTACACAATGAAAACTACAGAATCCTAAAAAGAGAAATCAAAGAAGACCTTAGAAGATGGAAAAATCGACCTTGCTCATGGATAGGCAGAATTAATATTATTAAAATGACCATGCTACCAAAAGCACTATACAGGTTTAATGCAATTCTGATCAAAATCCCAATGGTATTCCTCATAGAAAGAAAAAGCAATCATGAAATTCATCTGGAAAAATAAGAGACCCAGAATAGCTAAAGCAATTCTAAGCAGGAAGAGTAAAGCAGGTGGCATCATTATACCAGATCTTAAACTATACTATTGAGCAATAGTAACAAAAACAGCATGGTATTGGCACCAAAATAGGGGGGTAGACCAATGATACAGAATAGAGGACACAGAGACTAACCTACAGAATCACAATTATCTTGTATTAGACAAAGGTGCCAAAAACATACACTGGAGAAAAGATAGCATCTTCAACAAATGGTGCTGGGAAAATTGGAAATCCATATACAACAAAATGATATTGAACCCCTGTCTCTCACCATTCACAAAACTCAAAATGGATCAAAGACCTAGGATTTAAACCGGAGACTCTGTGTCTAATAGAAGAAAAAGTAGGCCCTAATCTTCTTTATGTGGGCTTAGACCTTAACTTCCTTAATAAGACTCCTATAGCACAAGAATTAAAAACAAGAATCAATAAATGGGATGGAATCAAACTAAAAAGTATTTTTCTCAGCAAAAGAAACAATCTGTGAGGTGAACAGAGAGCCTACATCCTGGGAGCAAATTTTTACCCCTCACACATCAGATCACTAATCTCTAGGGTATATAAAGAACTCAAGAAGCTAAACACCAAAAAACCAAATAATACAATCAATAAATGGGCCAAGGACCTGAACAGACACTTCTCAGAAGAGGATATAAAATCAATCAACAAATACATGAAAAAATGCTCATCATATCTAGCAGTCAGAGAAATGCAAATCAAAACTACTCTAAGATATCATCTCACTCCAGTCAGAATGGCAGCTATTATGAAGACAGACAACAACAAGTGTTGGCGAGGATGTGGGGAAAGGCACACTCATACATTGCTGGTGGGACTGCAAATTGGTGCAGCCAATTTGGAAAGCAGTATGGAGATTCCTTGGAAATCTGGGAATGGAACCACCATTTTACCCAGCTATTCCTCTTCTTGGACTATACCCAAAGGACTTAAAAACAGCATACTACAGGGACATAGCCACATCAATGTTTATTGCAGCACAGTTCACAATAGCTAAACTATGGAGCCAACCTAGATGTCCTTCAGTGGATAAATGGATTTAAAAAATGTGGCATTTTATACACAATGAAATATTATTCAGCATTAAAAAGGAATAAAATCATGGCATTTGCAGTAAATGGATGGCATTGGAGAAGTTAATGCTAAGTGAAGTCAGCCAATCCCCCTCAAAACAAATGCCCAATGTTTTCTCTGATATAAGGGGGGTGACTCATAGTGGGGTAGGATGGGAGAACATGGGAGGATTAGATTAATTCTAGATAAGGAAGAGGGGTGGGAAGAAAAGAGAGGGGGAAGGGGATTAGCAAGGATGGTGGAATGTGATGGTCATCATTATACAAAGTACATGTATGAAGACTTGAATTGGGTGTCAACATACCTTATATATAGAGATATGAAAAATTGTGCTCTATATGTGTAATAAGGATTGTAATGCATTCCACTGTTGTTGTGTATTTTAAAAAAATAAAATCAATTAAAAAAGA